ATTATAGGCATGAGCCACCACACCAAGCTCTGTGCCTTCTGCTAAGAGTTTTATAACTTTAGCTTGTATAGTTAGGTCAGTTTTTTCATATAGTTTCATTTTCTTATATGTGAATGTCCCAGTTTTCCCAGCAGAAATGTATTTAAAATGTTATTTTCCTATTGAATGGTTTTGGCACTCTCATTGAAAATCACTGGCCATGTATGCAGGAGTTTATTTTGAATTCTGTTTTCCATTTCATTGGTTTATATGTTTATACTTTTGCCAGTATCACCCTGTTTTGGTTGTTGTCATTTTATAGTAAATTTTAAAATCAGGCTAGGAATATAGCTCAGTGGAATTGCGCCTGCCTGGCAAGCACGAGGTCCTGAGTTTGATTTCCAGTACCTAAAAAAAAAAAAAAAGAAAACCCAAACAATACCATTGGGCTGGGGATATATCTCAGCGGTACAAGTGCCTGCCTGGCAAGTGCAAGGTCCCAAGTTCGATTCCTGGTAACCAAAAAAAAAAAAAAAAACCAAAAAGGAATATATTTAGCCGGGTGTGGTGGCACACACCTGTAATCCCAGCACTCAGGAGGCTGAGGCAGGAGGATCATTGTGAGTTCGAGACCAGCCTGGGCTACAAAGTAAGCTCAAGGCCAGCCTGAACTGCACAGGCAGACCCTGTCTCAAAAAGACAAAATAAATAAAATGAAATCAGGAAGTATGAGTCTTCCAGCTTTGTTCTTTTTCTAGATTGAGAACTAGAAATCTGAAACCTCTCAACAAAGTAATCCAGGACCAGGTGGCCTTATTGGTGGATGTTACCAAGCATTTAAGAATTAACACCAATCTTCTTAAAGTCTTACAAAAAACTGAGGCGGGAAGCTTCCTAATTCATTCTATAAGGCCAGCTAACCTCACTGATAACAAAGCCAGAAAATGGCATCTCAAGAAAAGAAAACTATAACCCAATTCCCCCAATAAATATTGATGGTTTGTGTTTTCTAGGAATTTGTCTATTTCATTTAAGATAGCCAGTTGGGTAGCCAAAACTTTGTCGAATTTGTTTTTTGTTTTCTAAGGACCAACTTTTAGTTTCATTTATTTTTCTATATATTTTTTATTCTCCATTTTATTTATCTCTGCTGTAGTCTGTAGTAGTTCCTTCCCTTTGCTAGGTTTAGGTTAATTTGCTCTTTTCTAGTATTTTTAGGGTATACATTTAGAGTATTGACTTAAGAACTTCCTTGTTTAGAAATAGAAATGTTATTTCCTTTCTGATAATTTCTTTGGCCTTTTGGTTATTTAAGAGTGTTGCTTAATTTCTACATATTTTTGAGTTTTGCAGTTTTCCTTTTGTTACTGGCTTCTAATTTCATTGCGTTGAAAAGATATTACATATTTTTAAAGTCTTTTTAAAGTGTGCTAGACTTGTGTTGTGGCTTAACATATGAGGAATATTCCATGTGCAGTCAAAAGCAATGTGTATCCTGTAATATATGTTGGGGCTAATTGGTTCATGATGTTGATCAGGTCTTTTCTTTCTTTATTGATCTTCTGTATGGCTGTTCTACCTATAATTGAAAGTGAAATAGTTAAACCTCTAACTATTATTGTAGAACTTTTTCTTGCTTCAGTTCTTTTGATGCCTGCTTCATGTGATTTGGAACTTTGTTATTAGATATGTGTATATTTATAACATATCTTCTTGATGAGTTGAATCTTCTGTCTTGTTTTGTCTCTTACAACCTTTTTTGTTTAAGTGTAAATAAGGAAAAAGTTTTGCCATCTAACTGTATGCTTTCTCTATGTCTTATAGGCTTTCATTCTTTAATTCCTACATTACTGCTCTTAAAAAATTAGGTTTTTTGTTTTTATTTTGCTGTGTAACATTTTTATTCCCTTCTTTATTTACTATATATGTTTCAGTTGTTTTTCTAGTGGTTACCTTGGAGTTTACAGTTAGCATCTTCACCTTTTCACAGATTACTTTTAATAGTAATATTCTGCCCTTTATATCTCCATCTCTTCCTCTTTATATTGTTTTTGCTGCAGGTTGCATCTTTATACATTGTGTGTCTGTTAAAATTGATTTGTAATAATCATATAATGCATTTGCCCTTTAAATCATATGGAGGAAAAAGAGGAATTACAAACTAAAAGTGTCATAATACTGTCTTACTTACTTCCTTATGTAATAACTTCAGTTACTTTCTATTGACCCTCATTTTACCTTGGAGGACTACCTTCCTTATTCCCCTTCTCCCTTCCTTCTTTCCTTCCTTTTCTGTGTATGTGTTTCGGGGAGGTGGATACTCAGGATTGAACTCAGGGCTTTCACACTGAGCTACAAACCCCAACTATTTTATTTTTTATTTCGAGACGTGGTCCCACTAAGTTACCAAGTTGCCCAGGGCGGGCTCAAATTTGTGATCTTTCATTTCTGGTAGGAAACATATTTTAGCAACAATCTCTTGGGTTTGTTTATCTAGAAGTCTAAATTTCTCTTTTATTGGGGCTGGGGATTTAGCTCAGCGGCAAAGCGCCTGCCTGGCAAGCGCAAGGTCCTGAGTTCGGTTCCCGGTACCGGAGAAAAACCAAAACAAACAAACAAAAAATTTCTCTTTTATTGTTGAAGGATTGTTTTGCTGGATATAGAATTCCCAGTTGACTGTTCTTTCTGCACTAAATATATCTCCTTACTGTATCTGGCCCCCGGTCACTGACGAGGAGTCACCCTGTAACCTTATTGAGGGTCTCTTGTAAGTGACAGATTGCTGCTGCTACGTTGCTGCCTTCAAGTTCCCTATTTCTCTTTGGCTTCTGATAATTTGACTATACTATATCTCTCATGTACTTTTAATTTTGGTTATGGTAATTTTTTAGCTGAAGAATTTCTACGTGTTTTTCCCCACACCTGCTGTTTCTTAAAAAAAAAAAAAAAAAACCTCCGACCCTACCCAAATTCTCAATCTTGTTTCTTCACATAGTACTTTATAGTTTTCTCCCATTATTTTTTTCTGTAATGCCTTGTTTTTTCTTTGAGCTCTTGTTTTTACATTATGCATAGGACACTGTATCTAAAAGTTAACCTGCAAAAAGAATTTGAGGTCTAGTAGTAAGTTTTTCATTATTGCTTTAATTTGCCTTTGAGCACTTTTAATATTCTTCGCAGCTCTCTCGTATATTGTCAAGTCAAGGATATTAACCATTTAAAAGCTGGTTTATCTTTTTACTGTTGATTTGTGGTAGTTTTTAATATCTCTTTTGCCCTAAACTATATAGATACATTCTACCAATGTGTGGCTTTCCCCCACTTCTTTAATAGTGAAAGTGATGGTATAAAAGTTTTAGTATTATTTTTTTCTAGGACCTTGATAGTTTTAATTTTATCGCATTCAGGGCTGTGGGCCGTCACAGTTAACTTTGGTATATGGCTTGGCATAGGATCGGTCGGGTGTTTCCCATATGCCTGTCAGCTTGTTCTGGCACCATCCTTTCCCAGACGAACTGCGCAGACGTTTGTCAAGTGCCTGTGCATGAGTGGGTCCATCGCTGAACTTGTCCTTTTGTTCTCTTTAACTATTCTTTTGTCTTTCTCACAATACTCACTCTCTTATTACTATAGCTTTGGAGTAAGTTTAATATTTGGTAGTGCCAGACTGCTATTGAACCTTTCCAAGAATTTCTTGATTTTCCTAGGTCTTTAATGTTTGCATATCTATATTTTTTTAGATAACCTCACTGGGATTTGATCGGAAGTGTGTTGTCTGTTGATCAACTGGGTAAAATTTGACATATGAATGATAGTACATGCTCCTGTGAACTTGGTGTCTCCCCATTTATTTACATCTTCTTTGGTTCCCTTCAGTGTAAAGATGTCTCACATTTTTCATTAAATTTATCCTGAGGTAGTTATTGATCCTGCTGTTATAAATTGCATTGTTCTTTCAATTTTATCTTCTAGGTGTGTGTTACTGATATACGGAAATGTGGTTCATTTTTCTCCCTAGTAGCCTGCACTCCTGCTAAATTTATACATTAGTTCAAGAAATCATTTTGGCCGTTCTTGTAGGGTTTTCTCTGTGTACAGTCTTGGCATCTGTGGATAAGGGTAGTTTTCCTTTTCCTTTTTTTGCTGCCTGGGGAGGGAGGTCATTGGCAGCTTTGACTAGAAGCAAGAAGGAGAATAGGGGGAATCATTTGGTCTTCGCCGTCTGCAAGGCTTAGCTGCTGACCTCCTAAAGGCCCTGTGCAGGTGGAGGCCCAGCTACTGAGTGAGCCTTCATGAGATATTAATTTAATAAAGTACTAAAGTAGACCTTGGCAAATTCCCTCCCTGTGTCCATGGAGAGCACCAAATGGGTGTTCTCCTGCCACAACCCGAGTCCTGCAGTGAGGCTTTTACTGCAGTGAGGTGGGGCAATTCCCAGTGGGGCAGCAGCCTGGCATTCCTGGGACAAACGCCACTTACAGTTCCTGGTTCACTAGCCAGCATTTTGTTCAGGATGTTGAAAACCGCAGGCCTTGGATGCCTTTCCTCAAAATAGCCCTGCAGGTTTCTGTATAGTGAGGTGCAGTTTGTGTGAGCCCTCATCTGCTCCTGTCCCTGTCCTTCAGATCTTCTCCATGAGGCCCACACCACAGAGGGCGGCCCAGGATCCCTCCCCGCACATTTGCCCTGCCCCTCACAGAAGTGCCCGCTCCCACACAGCTCCTGGGCTCTTCTCAGCACTCATCATTTCACAGGACGGTCAGAGGAGACACTGGTGCCAACTGCATAGAGCGGTGGAGGTCACTTGTGGCCAGGCTGGATCTTTCAGGAGCAAGGGAAGGAAGGCTGCTGTTTCCCAGCTCACATTGTCATTTTGGAGTTAGCCTTGGGGATGCTTCTTGGTGCAGGCCCAAGGACCACTTTGTCCTGAGGATGGAGAAAGTTCAGGGACTGGAGGGCATGCGAGGAGGCCAACTGATTGCAGCCCCACATACCTTTCTTTTCTTATGTCTGTCTTCTAGATGACCACACCTCGAGCAGGAATGGGGATGCCATATCTGGCCGCAGCACCTGGCCCTCTGTCCACCGCAGCCATTCCCGGAGCTATCCCGGCCCTGCCTGTGCCCACACCAGGTACTGCCCACTCCAGCCTCCCAAGCCCACCCTGTGCACTGCTTCTGGGTCAGTACGGAGGCCTGTGCCCAGCTCCAGTGCCCTGGGGGCCCTGGGGAGCCCAGGGGAGCCCGCCAGGGGTTTGGGGCAGCTGGAGCCCTGCCCAGGTACCTGTCCTGCCTGTGTTCCTGTGGTCACCTGCTGTCAGCACCCCGAGCCACCGGCTGCATATCACGTAGCCCAGTGCGATTGTGGGTTGGCCTCTGCGTGCCTCCCGGCTATGAGGGCCAGTGGCCACAGGGCAGCGCCGACCACAGGAGCAGCCTCCCTTACTGCTTAACACCCTGATCGATCTCAGCCCTCATGGTCTGCACACCTCTGTCCTCAGTTGGAGGTTGGAACCTGGTCATCCACTCTGTAAAAGTACAGTATCTTGAATTCCAGTTTTTCTGTTCCCTGAAAGAAAAATCAGAAAAGTTTTATTTCATTTATAGTTGGCTTTGCTTTAATATCTGTACTGTGTTAAGTTACAGAGATCTGAATGGTTTACAAAGCTGAAGCCGAAGTTTGACCCTCAGTTTTCTATTGTAAATGCCTTTTTAGAAACAAAGAAAATTGAACCAGTGCTCTTGAATACTGAGGAGCTCACTGCTAGATGAGCTCGGCTTGGTCCTCAGTGGAGCAAGGGTTTCCTGGGCTTATCAGTGACTGAGAGGCCCTCCGGGCAGGGCGTGTGTGCAGTAAGGACCATCAGCAGCTTTTTTTCTCCGTGAGGACCCTGCCAGACAATGCCACGAGCGCAGATGCCCCGGTGGCGGCAGGCCGCTGGGGTGCCTTGCAGAGGTGCGCCCTGCCCCTTCCGCTCAGGGGCCTCCCACCCCTTGCCTTCCTTTTCCATGACCTCTGCGGGAGCGCAGCAAGCCCTGCAGTTCCCTCCCGAGGCCACACTGCTGAGGGGAGGACCTTTCTGCAATTTCCATGGGCACCGCCCCACAGGCATAGCATGGCCCCAGGTGGAGGTGACAGCCCCCACTGTGCCCTGTACCTCTTGTACTTACTAGACCAGCTAGATTATTTTAGTTTTAATATCCTACCCACCCATTCAGTTAGAAATGAATTTAACAGGGAACTGTGCAGGATCCTCTGCCAGGGCATCCACTGCAATGAAGGATTTCTGTGGTCTGTGCCTGGTCCGAGGATCGCGTGGACCTGTTTCTCGATGAAGCAGAGGCGGCCCTCTCCCGCTGCCCCGCATGCCTCAGTCCTTTCCTCCTACAGCAACGGCAGTGGCACGGGATCCCCAAGAGATTGTGTATGTGAAGGAGAAAAATAAACATTTTTGCTTGAAAACACTGTGAAACAACATCATTTTCTTACCCTCTATCCACGTAAAAGCCAGGCTGACCAGCCTTGTAGAGAAGAGAAGAGTGGGGAGCCAGGGTGGCTTGTCCCAGGTTCTGCGCTGAGCCTGGAGCAGGGCTGAACTCACACTGGGCGAGAGCGCTAATGGGACCAGGGATTGAGCCCCAGGCCTCTGGCGGGGCTGCCTGTCCCCCAACACTGCACCTGCAGGGTGTGACGCAGGTGCCCAGGATACCAGGCTTTGCCAACCCCCTATGTCTGAGCTACTGTTAGAAGTGCCGATGGAGGGGTGCGTCTCACGGTCATGTGGACTGCGTCCCCACCCTGTCCCTGTTGGTGGTGGCTCCCACAGGCCAGGCTTACATGACTCCTGGTGGGCTAGGACTGGGCAGGCGGGATCCCCTCTTTCAGATTCTTATCCAGAGGAGGACTTGGGGCTGTGGTTACCCTGGGTCATGTGAAGGGTGCTGAGCACAGGGCTATAGGGAATGTGGTGGTTTGGGGAAAGGATCACCTCGTGTGGTGCCTGAGCTGCTTTTTCTTGCATGTGCGTTGTGAGCCTGGCCCGGACCACTCTGAAGTCTGCCATCCACCTGGGCCCCTGCAGCTAGGGGTGGCTGCCTGTGTGGCCTTGCTGCCTTCCTGTTTTTGTTTTGTTTTGTTTTTGGTACCGGGAACTGAACTCGGGACCTTGCACTTGCCAGGCAGGCGCTTGTGCCGCTGAGCTATCCCCGGCCCTGCCTTCCTGTTAAGATGCAACAGCAGCCTTCACAACTCTGCTTGGGGGGAACTTTCCATCCCATAGTCAGCACACAACCCTGCAGCTACCTCACAGTGCCTTACCTTGGCACTACCCTGGGGTGGGGACGTTGGTGGTCTTTCGTCTCTCCTAGCTGCCCAAGGGTCCGGAGGGTAACTCACGGCCAGGCACTCTGGTTTTGTGGTCATTCTGCATGCCTGGCTGTCACAGGGAGGAAGATGGCCGGATAACAGGCTGGTGGGCTCTGTGCTGAGCGCAGGACTTGGTATGGGGCGTGGTCATAGAGACTGGCCCAGCTCTGGCCTTGTCCTTCCATCTCTGACTCGGCAGCTCCCAGGACAGCGGGCCAGGTGCCCAGGCAGGATGCGCAAGGGCACTGGGCCTGGTCCCGGGCGGGGCTGAGCCGCAGAGGCCCATAACAAGCGAGCTGTGGCGGTTTTGTTTTCCAGATCCCGAGAGCGAGAAACCCGACTGACAGGCACAGGCACCACCAGGCCCATGTCGCATCATCCAGCGGCGCTGTGACAGACCTTCCGGGCCAGCCCCTCCTCAAGTCCACTTCACACTGTTTTGTAACCACTTTCTAAGCATTTTTTATTCACAATTGGAAACACAAATGTAATGCAAGAATAAAAAATATTTTGGGGGAGAAAGGACTTGGTTTTTCAAACTTTCTCCTTTGTGGTGGCCATCAGGCAGGCAGGTGGTGCAAACTTGAGAGGGGTGGAGCAGGGGGACATTTCCAGAAGCCTGGCTTGTCCAGGACAGCCTGCCCACTGTCACCCCCGAGCCACCCTCTGGCACAGACTCAGGTCTCCTTTGCTCACACAGCTCAGTGATCTTCTATCTTCTGACTGGTGTCCAGAGCCCTAAGTTACCCACCCACCAGCACCACAGCATTTTGTGGAAACTTGAAATAACTCTTCTTCCAGAATTCATGCACACTGGCAGCAAAGGTGCCAGCCAGGTGTGGTCTGAGACCCTTTGGGGGTGCAGGACAGGACCAGCAGCTCCACGGATGGCACCCGCCCATGGTGGGAGGCATCTGAAGTGCAGCATAAAAAGCTGTGAGTCGTCCTGGTGGGAAACACGCAGTGGAAGTGTTTCCGAAGTCTGGCCTGGCCCACAGGAATGGGGTCTGGGTTACAGTTCTTAGAGTCCCCTGCATCAAAATGTTCATTAATCTCTAGCTGAACGTTAGCATTTCCTCCAGTGGTGGGTGGGGAGTAGGTTTTAGCAGCACCTGGACTTTTTCACTGCTAGTGACCACAGATATGACATTAAGGTGGTTGCTAACATCCCAAAATGTCATTTCTATCACAACAAAATGCTCAGCCCATGGGATTAAAGTACATCTTATTTAAAGGTCTGGTCAGTTCTCTAGGATGTGGGAATAGCCAGGGATGCTTGATAGACTGAGTATTCTGAAGGGTTCTGAATATCACAGGTCGTACTTTGGTTCACAGATTGGATTGCAAGATTCTGGTCACAAACCAAGTTGGCTGAGCGTTGAATCAAGTTCAGTGGTTATGTTCAGTGTTGACCTCATGGGGAAATTTGATTCGGTTCTCATCCAGTTCAGTTTGCAACCAGAATCCTGGAGAGAATTGAGTTCATGACCCAGTTACCTCCACTGTATCTATAATGAGGTTTCCAGCTCATTGGTTTGTGCCCTAGTCCTGGAGTCAAGCCTTGACTTTGGAAAACAAACACATAATATTTTGGCTCAGTCAATCTGCCATGCAAAGTACCATAGAATGGTTCACTTAGAAGAAATTTGTTTCTCGCAGTTCTAGAAGCTGAGAAGCCCAAGGTCAAGGTATGCAAGGTAGGTTTTATTCTGAGGGTCTTTCTCTGGGGCTGTAGATAGCCACCATCTCACTGTGTGCTGCATGACTCTTCACAGAGATTTGGCTCTGATGTTTCTTACAGGGCACTAATCTTATTGGATCAGGGCCCCAATCTTAAGCTTACATTTCATCTTAATTATTCCTGTCAAGTTCCTATCCCCAGGTACAAGGGATTACAGCTACAGTTTATGAACTTTGAGTGAATACAAACGTTCAGTCCACAGCACATGGCTTATGAAATCATTTTGACACATAAATCTACTTGTAAGGCGGAAACTATGCTCACCTCTACTTGCACCTAATTATGTAAATGACTATCAAGTGTATTCCCTGTTACAGCGAGAGAAAGGAAGGAGGGCAGAATTAAGGATAAACTGTAGCAGAAATTCAGGAAGAAGTACCTAACGCTTCCTTTCCTGAGCCCCACATAGGCTCAGGAGATGGATCCCAGGCTGTGCTTCACAGCCCTGCATCATCAGAATCCCAGACCCTGGAGTACCCTGGCCAGTGGTGACCATACCAGGCCAAGGGCACAAGGGCAATTGGCCAGATGAGTGCCGAGGACTACAGAGCTCTTGGTTTTAAACTCAGGCCCACAAAGAACAGACAGGATCAATGAAACGTAGCAAAGTACTAACACTTCAACCTAACTATTAATAACTTACAAGTGGTCTAATCATTTCGTTTAAAAGAAATTGCCAGATCAGACCTAATAAATAGCACCAAGACTCACATATACATTGCCCACAAAGAACACTGTAAATGGACATGTGGTTGGACAAAGATAAACCATCGTAACTTTAACCATTCGAAAGCGCAGTGGCCCTATTAATACTGAATAATAATCATTTCATAATGACAAAGAGGTCACTTAACAAGAAAATATTTCTAAACATTTGTGTACCTAACAACAGCATCAAAATAAAACAGAACTACAAAAATCTGTACAGATACATGCATATCCTCTGTAATTGGCAGAACGAGTAGAGAGACAACCATGGTAGTCAAGAGCCTTGCTTCAGTTTTTTTTTTTTTTTTTTTTGTGGTGCTGGGGTTTGAACTAATGTCTTATACATGCGAAGCATGTGCTATGCCTGTGAACGATGTCCCCAACCCCTGCGACTCCAATTTTCAATGTTTGACTGCTGATCGCTTTTAAGCCTCACCTCTCTTCCACATCTGGATAAGCTGAGCAGAAAGCCTGGGTACCCCATTATTGGCATGAGTCCATGAATTGCATCAAACCAGACCGCCCCTACCCACCTTCAACCTGCCCTACCCCTTGGCCACCATGAAAACCCCAATCCAGTCTCCTTTCTCTGGTCTCTGAATCCATTTGGACCTGCCTGGAAACTGTCTTGCTCTCCCCAGAAACTTCATTTCATTATTGAGTAACCTCTGGGTGGAGGTCCACCCTATTTCTGCAGAGTAACCACAGTAGTCACTGAGAATATGAAACACTGGAGCATCCCTACTGACCAGCTGGCCTGCTCGACATTTGGAGAACACCCATAGCAGAACACATTGTATTTAGGTGCACGTGGTCTATGTAGCTAGACCATGTCCTGGAAAAGAAAAATGAGTCACAATATACTTTAAAGGGTTCAACTTACACGATGTTTACTCAAAAAGATGGTGTGAATAGTCCCATATCTATGAAATGAATTTATTTTGTAGTTAATCTCAAAGAAAATTCTAATATGTGGTTGGTTTCTCAGGTGAATTCCCCTCTATGTTCAAGGAAGAAAGAATTCTAATTCTACACACACTCTTCCAGAAATTCTGCTGCCCTCATCTTAAAGACATCACAAGGGGGAAACAAAAACACAAAAACGTCCTAGATCCCAATGTCCCTCATGAACATAGATGCAATTCTAAACTACATCTGACCAAACTCAAAGTAACAAGCCATGAAGAGGACAGCACCTCATGACTAAGCGGGGTCATCACGGGAAGTTCAACTCCCAAATACCAATCAATCTGACATTACCAGGTCCAAAGCACCAAAGTATAAATAAGTTCCATAGAGCTTAAAGACCTCTATACAGCACAGCTAAGAGAAATTAAAGACTTAAATAAATGGAGAGAAAAGCTGACTGTAGATTTGAAGATTCAGTAGTGTTAGCTGTCAGGTCTCAAATTCATGCACACAAGTTCATTGCAATCCAAATAAAATCCCCAGCTGGGATTTTTGTAGAAATTGGCAAGCTAATTCTAACATTCATATAGGAATGTAAAGGACCTAGAATAACTCAAGAAATGTCGAGGAAAAGTTGGAAGACTGACACTACCAGACTTTATAATTTATAGTGACTCTACAGTAATCAAAACAGCATGAAAATGACAGGCACAAGGGCACAGATTAAGGAGACCAGAAAGAGACTTACACATATAAGGGCACCATTTGCAACCAAAGTGTATGGGCAATTTAGTGAAGAAAGAATATTTTTAAAATGGTGCTGGAACAATTGAATGTCCATACATCTTTTTTTAAAAAGCCCTCAATCAGTAATTTTCACTGTATACAAAATTAAGTCAAAGTGATGTGCCTGCCTGGCAAGTGCAAGGTCCTGAGTTCATATCCCGGTATGAAAGGAAAGGAGAGGAGAGGAGAGGAGAGCAGAGAGAGGAAGGGAAAAGAAAGTCGATGTTGAAGTTGTTAAATCAAATAGACACCTTTTAGACTTGTCATCCTAGCAGTATTAAAAAAAATGGATCATGGACCCACATATAAGACCTAAATTGAAAACAGGCAAAAACCCCACAAAACTTCACAAGAAAGCAATCTTTGTATACTTTAATTAGCAAAGATTTACTAAAACACAAAAGCAAAATCTGTGTTTTTAAAAGTGACAAATTGGAATTTATGTGAGAAACTTCTCGAGGAGCTCCAAGGAACAGAGAAGGATCGGGGGAGGACAGAAAAAGGAAGGCTGGATGTGCTCAGGGCATGACCTCTGCACGGAGCAGATGATCACGGTGAGTCCCACTCACCTGTACGATTAATATGTGTGGGAGGATCATGAATTTACAATTTATTTTGAAAACAAGACACTAATAAATATTTTTAATGAAAAATTTCACTTTGAAAAATCAGTGTTAAGAGAATGAAAAGACAACCTACAAACTAACACTGGCAAATAACTTGGGTCGGGAACATAATGAACTATAAAACTGCTACAATAACACAATGAACCCTAATGGCTACAACGCTATTGCCATTTTTTTTTTTTTTTCAGTACAAGGGATTGAACCCAGAGCCTTCACACAGAGCTACATTTTCATCCCTTTTTATTTTTTGTTTTGAGGCAGAGTCTCACTAAGTCCCTAAGTGGTCCAGACTGGACTTGAACTTGCAGTCCTCCTGCCTTGGCCTCCCAGAGTGCTAGCATTATAGGTGTGCTGTACTGCACTCTTCTCTGTTGCCAATTTTTAAGATGGATAGGATTTAAAGAGCCATTTTACTAAAGAAAATCTAATAGCAAGTAAGCACTTGGAAAGGTTCCCAGGATGAGTAATCCTTAGGCACCTTCCAGTGCAAAGCAATGAGATGCCCAGGCCCGCCCCACACCACTGGCATGGCTGACACTGATTTATGCCCGTGTGGAGAAGCGATGCTCATCTGCTGCTGGTAGGAGGTGCAAAGGTGTAGTTATCTGGGGAAATGGTGTGGGACAGAAAGAAATTTTGAGCATATTCAGGAAGCTGAGCACAGGTGTCCACACCGAGACCTGCACAGGGGCTGGAAACAACCTGCATTCCACCAGCAGGTGAGGACCTAACAGTCCCACTGTCACCTGGCAATG